GCTTGCCCAGAAATCTGGAGGCAGTATCACCTAACGGTGAGTAGAAACACCTTTTTTATTTTCCCCAAGACCCAGCCTATTTACCCTTCTCTGAACTGCTGACCATAAAATATAGACAAGCATCTCCTGCTGGAAGATAATAAACATCTGAAGAGTTTTTGTACTGAGAAAGCACTGAAAGATTTTTCTCTTCTCCTCTCCCTGCTACCCTGCTACCCTGCCCTCTGTCTTTCTGTTCTTAAAAGGCTTTAATTTATTTTTGTTATATCATGCAGTGATTACATTATGGTATCTCAGTCTTCTCAGACTACATTCATTAAAGGAAAAAAGAATAGTAGAAATCGTAAAAAGTAGTGGTAAGCCAGCATCTTATAAATGCTGCATTATCTGCATTCCACAAGCATACAGTCCACAAGAGCTCCCAATAGCATTTGTTTTCTGATTTTAGTAAAATATCACACATTTTTAATGAAGCTAGAGAAAGCTTCGTATATCTTTCTTATAGAACAATTCAGCTGTCTATCTTTAAGCCTTTTTTTACTTACTATTCAAAGTGTATAAATATCTGCTTAGTAGCCATTCAAGTTACTCCATTTTCTGGTTTCCTGTTACAGTGATTTTAAGTTAAGTAGGAACATGAAAGGTAGTTTGCTACAATAGCAATCAATGTTATAAAGTCGATTTGCTTTTAGTTTTAATATTGAAATGTTAATATTTCAATAATTTACCATAGTCCTTGCATTTCTTTCCACTTATCCCCTAACTTAGAGAATTGATCATTTCTTTCAACATATTGAATGCCTTTAAGAGGTAATCTTTTTAAAATTATTTAGCTATATAATGTAATTAAAAGCTATTCCTTAAGGTTAAGGGAATTAAAAAGTTTTTGTTGATGGGAAGACTGATAGTAAAATAGAAAGGACAAAGTTTTTATAAAACTTTCTCCCTACTGCTCTCCTTTATAGAAATGAAAGTAAACCAAAAGGTAGACTCAAACTACCAAGCTGTTTGTCCTAGGCCCAAGAAGCAAGGAATGTTATATAACTTGCTTTATTTTGTTATCACTTTAATTTGTTTGAAAAATTCTTTCTCTCAAAAATCTTGAGTAAAAACTTTAGTTTGTAAAAATGTATATGTGTGTGTGTATACAATAATATGGGTTATGCACATATATCACAAATGTTACTTATGCAAATCCATTTTTGTCTGGCTTATGTAGCAATTTTTATCTAAACATACTGTGGTGAAATCTTTACGGCATGAACTTGGTTGAAATCTGTTATCACGGATAATACTTTTCAAGATCACGGAGTCATCCTGTTACACTACAGCATAATATTTTTCCACTTGTCTTTTGATTACATAACGTCTTACTGGATTTGACATTGCATTTCTTTCCCCTTAATCCCTAGTTTAAAGTATTCCAGTCTTGGAAATTTAAAACATGGGATCTGCTATTTTAAAGCCAAGATTTTCATTATTTCATCTGTTTTTTTATCAAATTAACATAGCAGGATAGAATTTGGAATTCAATATAATAGTAAAGCTATCTAAAGGTTTCTTTAATATTATATCCTTTCCAAAACATAAATTGGAAAAAATAAAATAAGAAACAAAATGAATTTACCTTTTGAGAAGTTGCCATATATTCTAACTCTTGTTGTTGTTGTTGTTGTTAAGTGCCTTCGAGTCGGTTCTGACCCATAGCGACCCTGTACAGGGTTTCCGAGGGTGTAAATCTTTACGGGAGTAGAAAGCCTCATCTTTCTCCCATGGAGTGGCTAGTAGTTAGAACAGCTGACCTTAAGGTTCACAGCCCGATTCGTAGCCACTACGCTACCAGAGCTCCTTATATTCTAACTATAGTTATAAGAAATTTCTTTTCAGAAATCCATTTTTATCAATCTGGAATCCTGATTAATTTCTCAAAATAATGCTGAGGCAACTATTAAAACTCATAGCTATTGAGTTTAAGTTAATAATTAGCTTACTATGCAAGTATAAATTCAAAATTAGTGTATTTATAAACATGTATACATATGTATCAGCCCACTGAAAATAAAATAGTTAAATAATTATGTGAATTATCTTAGCTGTATATAGGAAATATCCAAATGTGTATAATAAGCAGTAGTCAGTCTTGGATGAAGGTGATTTTAGTCATCTTTAGCTCTTTTCCTAGGCGATGGACTGCCATCTATTGACTCATAGTAGCCCTCACACTTGAATGTGGCATCAATCAGAGCAATGACCAAGCAATGAATAAAGCCTGGATTAAAGTTGTTACTGAATAAATAATCAATTAAACCAGTCTGTATAAAACTCTAGAACTTTCTGTGCTTCATTGTTGATTCATTTCGTTTTCTAAATAAAAATGAACATCTCTTACCCATAATGAGCTGTGCTTTTTTTGAGGAAAATTTATTAATATAGCCAGTTTGGAAATGTTAACATCTGGAAACTTTTCAGCTGATTTTATTGCCTCCCAAGGTAAGACTAGTTCATTTATAGAGCGACCTCTAAGTTTTAACAACTATAATGTATGGCCTAACAGGAATCACTTTCTTCTGAAAAAAAAAAAAAAGAAGAATGCTATAATTTAAACAGTATTACTCATTACACACATAAGAAAGGTGATGATGTCATATACTATGGTGAAGGATAAAGGGACTTAAGAAGTATTGCAAATCAAAATTTTCTTAAAACGTATTCTGAAATAAGATCGTCGTAATAAAGAAATAACTGTTTTTTAGCAACTTCCTGAGAGATAATAAAGTCTTCTTAAGTACTGTGTCTGATTAAGTAGCTTTTCACCAAACTTAACTAAACTTTTACTGTTGTCGTTAAGTGCCTTGTCAAGTTGGTTCCTACTCACAGTGACCCTGCATAGGGTTTCCAAGGAGCAGCTGGTGAGTTTGAACCACCAACCTTGTGATTCAAACTGACCTTATGGTCAGGTCATGTGCTTATCCTACAGCACCACACCAGGCCTTCTAAACTTTTGCTATACAACCAAAAATAAATCCGGTATTCTGAAGTGTATATGCTAATAGAATTCTTAAGATTTTGTTTGTATATGCATATATCACCTGTTATGACAACTATAGGACTATGCCATTTTTCTTTATGTATTTCAGTGGTTAGAAAATTAGTGAAAATTATATAATTTTAAATAATCAATTTAGAGAACTGCATGGGAAAAAGAAAAAAATTTTATTCTGTAATTAAATAATTTCTCTCAAGTAGTTCATGTTTTTTACTTATTGAAAAGTCTTTAGAAATTTTTGTTTAATCTTTAATAATAATGTTCTTGTATTTTAATCTCTGCTGCTATGTTTTCAGATTTTGTTAAAGCCTGACCTTGAATATTTTTCACCTAACTCATTCTAGCTCAATTTTTCACTTTTTAACTTCTCAAGAAGGAAAGTCCCTTGCCCCCAAGCCCTGCCATTTCTAATCTCATTTATATTAAAAATCCTAGGCCAAAATGGCCACCAGCAGAGTTTTATCACAGAATTTTTTTACTAGTAGAGGCTGTAATTTAGCATGCTTTGGACCATTTGTTAATCTTGCTTTTAGTCTACTTACTTTTAAATGTAACCAGGAGTTTGCTATTTGGGGCTGTATATGCTAAGAACCAAAAAGGACAATGCATCTTTTATGTTTAATTTTGTGCTTGGATTTCTTTGTATTCCATCCTACCACCTTTTTTTTTTCCTTCTTTTTTTTAAGTAAAAGCTTAAAACAGGAAATAAATTATAACTTTCTAGAAAAATTAAGTTTTAAATGTTTCTATAAATATAATGTTTGGAATGCCTCAAATTTCACTTTACAAAGTCAAATGCTTGCTTCCCTCCCTTGCTTACCTTTCTGTCCTGGAAAAGTCTTGGTTAATAGTCAGCCTTCACTAATTATCCGTAGTAATCTTACCTGAGTTATCTAAATGACACAGTACATGTTATGGACCATCATGAATAATAAATATTTCATTTTCTTTTACTACTCAGTTTTCTCTTTTTGTCTGGGAACATCAGTTTAAATATATTTTCAGGTTTTCACAGTATGAAAATGGAGTTTCCCATTAAATGAGAGTATTTACTTTTTAAAGTACTATATGCCTTGTCAGAAGGTAGAAAAACCCTAAAGTCAACAGATTTGAATTTGACTTTAGATTCATGTTTTATATAGTCCAGCAGGAAGAAATACAAAAGTGGACTTGGTAGTTTTGAGGCTAAAGCTATGCAACAAATTCTTTATCCTGAGATTATGATGTAAGGTAGAGTGTAACAATTTTCTAACTTCGGAGAACAGTTACGGAATGTTTCCCCTCTAAAACACCTTAAAATGGAAAATACAAAGTTTCAGTCAGTCCCAAGCCGGAATCTTTTCTTTCCAGGAAAAAAAAATCTCTCTCTTCACTGGGTGTATGCTGGGAGCCTTACTATCTATCTGAGAGCTCCTTGGCTACATAAGCAGAACTGCAGACCCCACAAGAACTCTGCCCACCCAGTGTTGGAGCTTTCTGTCTTCTGTTTGCGTTTGTCTCTTTTTGTTTGTTTTAGGAAATAGAATGGGTTGGATGTTGTATTTTTAAATTTTAGATAAAAATAGAATACCAAAATAGAAGTAGACTTAAACTAGGTCTTTGTACCATTTTTGAAAGCCTGGCCCATAGATTATCTTAGACTTAACACTTTGCAAATTCATTTTGGAAGCTTTTATTTTAGTGGTTTAAGTTCTTTTTGCCAACTCCTTCAGGACTCAAGAATACTCTTGAATTGGTTCTCATTTCTTTTCTCTATACCTGGTGTTGCCATTGGCCAACTATAACTATTGGAGATACTACATTTCTGTCAAATGTTCATATTTAGCTTTTATTAGAAATGTCTTTAGTAATAAAACATGAAGTTGAATATAATCATTCTCTGATGCATCTGAATGGTCATCACTTTTTTGTAATACCTCTGGGCCACCTTTCAGGTTTACTTGGTGTTTGAATAATTAAGAATTTTCTGAGTAATCACTGATGGCCTATT